ATGGACCAAAAGCCATGATACAAAATGACTTGGAAAAAAGTCTGGTTCCATTGACTTACATTAAAAGTAAAGTAGGTTTTTTCCTTTTCCTGTAAAGTTACCATTTTGGAGATATGAGGTTTTCTTCCGACAACAGCGATACATGAACCACGCCCTAAATCATGCAAATGTTTCAATAGTGAGCCAATAATAGAAAAACATTTAGCAATAAACCACAAATTTTAGCCCTGCAGTGAAGAACTGCTGCAAGTTTAGCTCTCAGTCAATTTTTCACATACAGTTAATGTTGCCTGGTTAACTAATCAGTTTTTTGTTACGTTGACTGAGGAACGTTTTCTCCGTTAAGTATTTTTCAGAAAGAAGACACTGCAACTTACCCTCTTGTTTTCTATTGGCTGACCCCTCTGAGGTTCACGAATTTGCAGGTTAAAGTTCAACTAAATGAAATCTAATAAGCAAAATTTAAAGCAGTATTATGCAAGAATTGGTATTTTTTTTGCAGAGGGTTTTTCACTTTTACACCACTGTTGTAAATATATTGCGTGCTTTGAGCCCCCCTCATGGTCAGCAGTACATGTGCATTTGTTGATGAGCTGAAGAAGACAGAATCCAACTCCCTTTCATGTGCACGAGTCTCATGCAGGCATATTGATTTCAGTTGTTTTTATGTGTAAACAACTAAAAATGCGAGTGTAATCTGTAGCGTTCACATGCCTGCGGGACACAAAGGTGAAATGGATTTTGCCAGGGAGTTGGAATTCGGCACAAAATCAGCAAAGACAACATTAGAAGAGAAAGAACCATGTTGACTTACAAGGCATAGTAATATAACAGGATTTCAGTACAGGAGGTTGCAAATTTTGATGTTTTATTTAGCCTGAAATTGACAAAGACTGACCAAACGTTTAGGCTGAGATTTAGGCTGAAATGTATTTCTTTGCATTCTAGCCTGAAACGGGGCTGAGGTTAGATGGCTTTTGGCATCCTGAAAAAACTACAAAACTCACAGATAAGGTTACAGCCTACACCGCAATCTTTCTTTAAAATTCGGCACGGATGAACACTGTTGTATTTTCATTGTTTTCCCATTTGCTGTGAGACTGTCTTGCATCCGTTTGTCTCTCTTAGCTCTCACCAACAAGTAAAAGCCAGTCTGAGATTTACTCTTGTACGGTCTCTCTCTTGGTCACTCCCTCTTTGTCTCTTGCTTGCTTCTTCCATAACGTCTTATTTATATATCTCTTTGCAGCCTCTGCCATGATGTCCATGCTGGGAATACTGAGCTAGCTTTTTCTTATAGCTAGCTGAAGACCTATAGATGTTGATGTATGATGTGGTGCCATAAAGCGTTTGGCAGTTCTCTATAATTTGGCAAAATTATAAGGTGTATGTCTCTGTAGCACCACTCTTGTGCCCCACTGTGACCATGCTGAGTTAAGAACCTCTGCTCTAAAATAACTTTTAAAGACAAGATGCTGTGAAACATCTTTCACAGAGCAAGTAGCTGTGTGCTCCTGATGACTACCTAGAATTTAGTGATATAAACAAAGGTTTGTTTGCTTATCAGGCTGAGAAACACCAGTGCATGGAAGTGCACACACATGGAAGTGTGCCTATGGAAGTGTGCCTATGGTAACTGGAAAAAGCTGAGATTCGATTGGTGCTATCCAACACAAATAGAAGTGCACTTGTAGTGTCTTTCTGTAAATACTGTGCCGTAGTACATGCCTTGTGATATGTGATGACATGAATTTTAAATATTCCCTCACCTTACCCTTTGGGGCGTTATGACTTGAGCTGATTTGCCATAATCACTTACAAATTGAGACTTTCAAGAGGCAGGAGCAAGAACACATATAACGAGAAATGAGTGCTATGAGTCTAATCAGTCCAAGCGTGACTGGCAAAGTACAGTATGACTCACCAATTACTACTGTAGCATAATAAAACCATGAAGCTTCCGGCTGACGAATCTGTATATTTTTGGGAGAGTTTTTTAATGTTCAGCAGGATGTTCAGCTGACTGGGTAGTAGATAAAGGATGTAGTATCATCTCTGATGTGTTTTAAACCGAATTACAAAAGGTCAACATTGATTTTTATCTAAATCATAATTGTTTTACTCCTATATTATTCCAGTGGATGTATTTTAATGGCTATTTTACATATCAACACAAAACCATGTATCTCAGAAATCGTAAGGTTATCTCTAATTGCATGTCAAAGGGCACATAGAAACTGAATTTTGCTTTTTTGAAATAAAGGAGTTTGAAGTAATATGTAAACATTGGTAAGTTTTAAAACTTTAACATTCACTACCCAGTCCTTAAATTATACTGCAAAAACAGCCTGTTTTGAATTCATTATTCCTGTGATGTCATGAGAACCATGATCCATCCACCTGTTCAGCCTACAGCAGTTTAGCTCAGTCCATTCACACTTCAGATCTAAGTAGTGTTTCAGCTCTGAGTGCTTTTTACATGAGACACGACCATTCATCTTAGCAATCTTAAAGGCACAGCGACAGAAACAGCCTGTTTAATTCTAAGGGATAAAGAGGGGTTGGAATATGGTCATGTAAAAATTAATCATGTCCATTTTTGGAACATAAAACCACACAAATATCATAAGTGGACCTCAAGGGAAATGATAAAATACAAGATACAAAATGTTCAATACAGGCCTTTTTAATGTAACAAGATTTTTATTCCAAGTAATTTTGGGCAATTTTTATTGGTCCATTCATTATGAAATGTACAAACAATGTAAAGGGCAGCTGGCATTACAAGGTTTTAATATGACAGCGACAATACAATTTCCACCCTAAATAACAGTAGTTGTAGCTTTAATGTAATCAAACAACATTTCAAAATGAGTGGTTTATTGAATAAAACTCATGCAGCTATAAAACACTACTTCATCACTCAGCCGCTGTATGACTGGCTCAGATCTTCTGTGCTGTGTGTCTGTGTGCCCTACATGCACATCTCTGAATGCTAGAGAGAACGTTTACATGTCCGCTGGAGATGCTAGAGTGAGTCAGCTCCCCCCTAAGATTTTAATGTGGTCCAAACACATTTTCTCATTTTTTATTTATGATGGACTCATTTTCATTCAGAAAATCCAGACTGTCCTGAATAATGCATGCTGGTGGCATCTTTTAAAAGCACCTTTTCCAGTTTTCCATTTCTTGACTTACTATAATCTTTTACTCTCTGTTCTCATTTCTGTTTTCTTTGTCCTTCACACATACATGTACAGACAGATTCATCACTGCCTCTGGATCTTTTTGCTATGTATTTCTGCCACCCACAAACACATGTGGGAGTATGATTAACAGTTACCGTTGTGCAAAGGTTTGCTTGCAGGACATTATCAGAAGTCAGTTTTTATGCTTGGAGAGCAGAACATTAGGTGACACTGGGCTACTGTACTGAAATGTCTGACGTTTATTTATTTTACTGCCTCTAATAATAAATGTTATTAATCCAGGTAGATGTAGTCCAAATTTCTACATCTTACAAATGTTTATGTATCAACATCAGTAGATGAACATGAAAAAATATTGGATATCAGTACCGGCCTACAATTTCCATATCAATGCATTCTTAATTTTTATTATACTACAATTAAGGCTGAGCAATATGACAATATTTATGGCTATATTGATACATTATGTCACAATATGCTTTTCTGAGCATATTGTGGATGTTGTCAGTACATAAAAACAATTCAACTAAATGTTTGATTACAAGAAGAGCATGATTTGTTCTGTTTAATTGCATTTAGTGCAAAGCAGTGAGTAAAATTTTGAAAACAAATCACTGTATTCATGTTTTTTGATAGTATTTTTTGGTCCGTTTTAACTTAAAAGTTGTTAGAAAAAATAAACATTGTAACATATCATGCATGTATTGTGAAAGTTTCCTGAAGTATTATGGTACTGCATTTTTGCAGTATCGCCCACCTTTGTGCTTTGCATGCAAGTCATTAGAACGACATGATTCTCATAACAATCCTAATCACTTTCACAGGCTGATCAAATTTCATGTTTTGTTGATTTTCTAGGAGGAGGTAATGTAACACATCCTCTACAAGGAACATAAATATGGTGTTTTCTGCAAATTTTAGTTAACGGGGGCAAGAATAAAACATAAAATATAAAGTATAAATACCTTTGCACTGGCCACGTTTTAATTTTCTAGTGTGTTAAACTCTGCAAATAATCAGTGATTGTGCATTGAAATGTGTTCTTTATAGAGGATGTGTTCTTACTTTCACTTGAAAATCAACACATGTAATTTGACCAGGGGTGCCTAGACTTTTACATATGACTGTATATACACATTCAAAGGCTGCCTTTCTGTCTTTCAACTAAAGAGAGAAGAATGAGGCTGCACAAAAGTTTCAAAGCCATTTACATCTATCTACCTATTCAGCCTACAGCAGTTTTGCCCTGCCCATTCACACTGAATGAATGCGGTATGGAAAAGATAGAAAGATGTACATTGCAATTACATTAGAATCTATAGAGCCACACACTCAAAGGCATAAAAATGTCCATATTTATCAAGCATCTCAGAGTACGAAAACCAATGAAGTCTCTCATGAGCTCATGTCATTTTATTGTGTGATACAAAGGGCATACGTTTCTGATAAATATAAGCCTTGCTGTTAATTAGACTAGTCAAGATAGGTCAGCCTACGTAAAATTGATACAATGGTAAAAGTCTGAAATGGCTATAATCTGACGGAGCCAGTGTGAAGCACAGCAGATTTAGCTAAACCCTTCTGCATGGAGCCATTTTTTGGATGCTATGTTATTTGGGATGTGATCGGCTGTTATTATTACCTATATGTAGCAGCAGTGACCCATTCTGACCTTCGCTTCCATTGCTAAACTCTTCAGATGTTGCCCTTAACTTTACTTGAGATCTGAATGTTGGAATTATTGCATCAGTCCTTGTCTTACATTGGACATGTTTTGTTCCCCCCCTGTAGGTGACCATGACACAAGCCCGCCCTTGGCTCCTACCAGCTTTAGCCTGCCAGAAACCTCATCACCTCCCATCAACAGCTCCTCTGCTACAGAGCCCAGCTCCCCTGCAAACTCTATACCTCCACATCTCAACACCTCCTCGGAGGTAGACAGCAGTGCTGCAGCAGAGCTTTCTCCTAATGACACCGTCAGTCAGAGTGGAAATGACGTCACAGACAGCGCCATCAAAAACAGCACAGAGGCACCAGGTGAAGTTCTCCAGAACACCCATACTCACCTATCTCTAGTTATTGAAAGTGGACTCGTGTCTTATTGCAAAACATATTTTAACACTAGCTCAGTGATGTGCATGCACGTGCACATGGACATTTTGGTGTCAATGGCATATGCACTTCATTCCCACAGAATCTGCTCAACAATGTATTGATTAATTAATCTATAATTATTCATAAAGGGCCCATATCATGGAAAACTGTTTTTTTCTTCACTTTTTGGAAGAGTTTGATATCGTATGTAAACATAGTTTTCAAAACATACCATTCACTCCTGTTTCCATGTAGTCTGTGTATGCAAACTAAGCACCAAGTTTTGTTTATTGGTTTTGTGATGTCACCAAAGCCAACACATTTACATACACCCATCTGTTTAGCCTACAGCAGTTTAGCACTGCACATTCACACTGAAGTTATAATGAGTGTTTCAAGGAAAGTATCTGGACTGCTTTTTAATTTAGGCACAATTAGGACAGCAAATCAGAACAAAACCTATATGTCTTAAAGGCACAGCAACAAAAACAGACTTACAGGATAAAATGTGACAAATGGTGATGTAGAAATGAATAATGACTGATGTTAAGTGGAGGGGAAAAAGGTAAAGATACTGAGCCCTTTTAAAAACTTTTTTTTTTTAATAATTAACAAATATTCAGTTATTATTCAGATAACATTAACAATGGAAGATCATGAACGCACTATATAGAAAGAGTGTGTATGAAAACACTTGGCAAACCACCACCAATGTTCCAAATTTGATGTTGGAGAAAAGTAATAGATTATAGGCCTCTGATACACTGATAATGGCTGCCAAACAAGGACGAGGTTGTACATAAAATATTGTGTGGAGCAGCTTTAGCTGTATGGTTGGAATGGGTATGCCAATAAGGCGGTTTAATTACATTGTATGGACCACATAAATACACAAAGCAGCAGATCCTGCTCTTTTCCAGACTGAAAACAGTGTTATGTAGAATAATAAGAGCAGCTATCTTGTCTTTTCAGTTGCAAACCGATCTATATTGCATACATAAACAAGCTATATGCTGGCACCCTGCAGTTCTTTCTGTCTTCTTCTTTCTCCTCTGCCATGTGGGCATACTGTGGCACTGCCAGACACTCTTAACACAGCCCCTCTTCACTCAGGGGGTCGAGGGTCAGGGTTATTTTTAACCGCCAGCCTGGACTGTCTCAGCTGTGTGCGCTAGTGAGCTGGCAAAGAGGTGCCAGCTGAGACACTGACAGAGCACAGTGGGGAGAAAAAGAAGAAGAAGAGGGAGAGGCAGCACAGAAATAAGACAGGGCCTAAGTTGAAGGGCAGAGACAGTCTGGACAGTGTTGTAGCATTGCGGAAAGCAGAGTGAACAGGTCGTCCTTCGTAGTCAGTGCAGAAGTCTAGACCACTGATGTAACTTGACATCGTTTAAAAAAGGAATGGCCCTTAAAAACAACCCTTAAAAACAATTACTTTTATTATTAGTTTCCATAATTTACCATGAATTATAGTGAGTTCGAATTGTACCGGTCGAATTGTATGTTTTGTTCATTTTCTAAGTGGTAAAAAGTTAACACATCCTCTACCACTAAAGACAGGGAACTTAAATATGGCATTTTTCTGCAAATTGTACTGCACAAGTTCTGTTATTAACTATGAACTATTCTATTAGTTTGCAATAGTGAAAACAAAATATAAAATGTGCCATAACTTTTGCAAAGGCCACATTATATATTTTTTCCAAATAAAGCAAATAAACAATAATTGTGCATCAAAATGTACAGAAGTTTGCAACTGTAGAGGAGTCAACTTATTTTTACTTAGAAAATAAACAAAATGTCATTTAATCCAACTTAATCCAAACTTTTGCATAAGACTGTATATCCAGTAGGCAACAAAGATGTATTTATAGTGTATACTCAATATGTTCATGATGCAAATGAACTGAAACCAGGCCTGATGTAGCCTATCAAGCGGTACGCAGATAAGGATCACTGTACTATCCATGCTTTACCGGCTTCTTATTGTAAATCTTTCACTGAGCATTTTTCTGATCGTCTGATGTTTTAAAGTGCTCTCACATATGATTTATTTCTGAGATATCTCTGCTCTTTTTGTCTCAAAGGCAATGTGGAAAGTGGTGCAGTTGGTTGCGCTGACTTAAGTTATTCCTGGTTTAGTTTTATTTTAAAAAAACATCACACATAAAATAAAATATTTTTAAGATTTTCCATATGTTAACAGTAACTGTTGTATCTGTAGGCATTTGCTGATGAAAGTTATTGTAATTTAGTCTATGGTTTTTAGCTTAAAAAAGACAGAGCTGGGCTGCTGAGTGGTGTAGTAATCTGAAGCGTCGGTCGTATTATCAGGAGATCGCAAGTTCGATCCCTGGTGATGCTACAGCCATCTGTTGCTGGGGGTCCAAGAGAGGACTATTGGCCTCGCTCTCTGGGTGGGTAGGATTCCACCACCCCCCGCCCCCCCCCGTCATCACTCAGTGGGACGTTAGTCAGCGCAAGCATCTGTTAACTGACGTAACAGAACTGGTGGTTAGCACTGTCCTCCGAGCTCATTCAGCTGTTCAGTGACGTTGAATTAGCAGCAGTTCGAAACAATGTGGTGGCACTTTACAGGTCTCAGAGGAAGCCTGTGCTAGCCTTGGCCCTCCTCGAGCTGGTGGTATCATGTGACTGGGGGAGTCTGAAGTAGTGAGTAGAATTGAATACAATTAAATACGGGAGAAACTAGAACTGCCATTTAAAAAAATACTGTAAAAAACACTGAGTACAAAGATTTTTTTTTATTATTAGGGCGATTCACAAACTGCACGGCAGTGCATCCAATCAGTCAGGACTCACTGATTAATTGGATGCAGTGCTGTGCAGTATGGGAAAGACAGTAACACCACTTGGGAGCATCGTCCAAGCCACCTTTTAAAGAAAGATGCAACCGGTCATTGTTGAAAGTTCTGCCAGTGCCCAGTAAGTTGATAATAACCCCTAGAGTTAGTATTTGGTATGTAACGATAGATTCAGGTGATTTAGTGCACAAGTCAGTGTTTTGAAAAAAATTTGAATTAAGAAAATCGATAACTCCATTTTGCACAATCAACTAATGAGACTAGAGCTGAGAGTGTGTCATATTATATTGAATATTTTGGTGTGGGTCATATTGATCACAAGATCATTGGTGAAGCCACAGCCCTCCATGTCCAAGAGTCATAAGAGTCATGATTGACCTTCCACTCTCTGGGTGGGTAGGATGACCCTCCCTTTCCCACAATCACTCAGCACAGGTGTCTGTTAACTGATGTAAGAGAATTAGCATTAGCACAGGTAGTGTTCTCCTCCAAGCATGCTCCGAGCTGTCCAGTGATGTTAGCGACAGTTTGAAAACATGTAGTGGCTTTACATATCTCAAAGGAAGCACATGCTAGCCTTCACCCTCCCAGCTTGGTGGCACTGTGTGATTGGGGAGACGTTGCTAGCTAAATTAGGGTTTATTTAACTGAGTTAAGTAGAATAAATTATAAACATGCGACTCAAATGCATTAGATGGCATAATTAATAGAACACAGCCGATGTTGACCATCTCACATGTATTGTTACATGCTTAGTTACTAACTAATACATTTTCATTCGCCCTGCTTTATCCGTTGATGTGAACTGCTGTAGATAAAGAGCTTCAGATAGCCTCTCTGCTGCATTTGTGAAACAATGGCATCAAACAAGCCCGGCTGTCTAGAATTACAATAGAGACGTGGGGAAAGCTAGGATAGAGGAGAGGAGTTGGGGGGGAAGAGACAGTGTGATTAAATGCAGTGTGAGATTTGACAGGAAGGTGAGGAAGCTGGGAAGCTGATGACGCTTCTCGTGCTTCTGTTCATGTGCGAATGCGGAGAATCATCTCCTCAACATGGTTCACACTCCTCCAACAGCTGCTGGCACTGGCACACACACACACACACACACACACACACACACACATCCACAGGCCTACACCATGTGTGTGGTTAACACAGCATGAAAGTGAGAGAGTTCTTATTGTCAAACACCTCTCTTTTACACATACAGCATAAGAAAACTACTCATGTATCCAGTTTTTCTTCCACATTTCCACATCTCGCACTCGGTTTCAGAGCTTTTCTCGCTCAGGCCGGCTCACACATAAGTGGCATACACTCCCTGTTAAACCACACACACACACACACACACACACACACACACACACACACACACACACACAGAATCGCTCTGTTCCATGGACTGTAGCAGCATAGTGATCACATGATAGAACAGCATCAGATGGCCTGTTTGGAACTAATCTGTGTGTGTGTGTGTGTGTGTGTGTGAGAGAGAAAGAAACAGCATTTGATTGGCAGTGGCATCATCTGACTAAAGTTAAAATATTGCATTTTATCAATTGCACTTTGCCTTTTTATACAATTTTAAAAAGATCCAGCGTTTACGAAAGCAGACAGGACCTCACCAGAAGTGTTAATACACTTTTTAAAATAGGCATAGCGTCTGGTGATAGTTAAACAAGTTACCACGGTAACAGCCCCCAGTAACGGTAAAAATCATTTACCACCGGTTTAAAGGAGCCTTCATTTACTGATTTATTTCCCACTTGTGAGCATAACTGAACTTTCAAACAAGTTGTGTTGTGTGATGTGCTGTGTTATCCTACATTAATGCCACATGTATTGTACCTAACATAGACCAGATTGTTCTAGAAAGGCAGCTGTTGAGCTGAAAATACTCTGTTATATATACTGTAGGCAGATTTCATTCCTGCACAAAAAGCACTTCTGTGGTACGGTGTACATTCTAGGACATTGTCTCAGCACCAGGTGTCACACTTTTTAATTCCAGTAATTTGGAGACAGGCCCTGACTCTGAGGTGAACATGGGAGCAAACACAGTGATAGTGTGTGTATTGTTGTGTTGTAGACAGATAGTAATGCAAGTAGTCGCATTTCTTTTGAAGTCAAAACATAATTTTCCTCTGAAAAGATTATTCGTGCCTGTCCTTGTGTGTAATTTGCACATTTGTAATGTGCTACCGCCGACCACTGACTGAGCAGCGGGAAGCTCCGTAGACTCTGTAAATAATCTGTTGCATAAAGATCACTGTGCTGAAGAAGAGAGAGTCCCAACATCATCTACACAGGCCTGCTTATGATTCAGGAACAGCTCTTAAGCTGTACATTTTATTCATAGAGATTTTACTTCAAGCCAGCTGTTTTGAACTGTCTCTACTGACTAGCTTTATAGGCTTTTAAATAACATCAACTGTTCATCATTTTAATCCAGAACGAATGGCTGTGTCTCGTTCAGAGAAAGGCTGAGGAGACATGCTTTTAAATGATGTTTATGGTGACTTCTTTCTTGTTAAAGTACTGACGGGACTACTGGGTTTTCTATTGTTGGTATGGATTTGTATGGGTTTTAGAGAGTAACTCGGGAGTAAAGTAATGAGTACTGAGATTACTTTTTCCAGGAAGTAGTAATCCCATTACACTTTGAGAGAAGTAATTAGAAATCTGTAGTGGATTACAGTGGATTACTTCTTTTAAGTTTATTTCTTCCTGTGGGCCAGTAGAGTGTTTCAGTATTTGAGCATGATAGCATACTTATAGATGCTTATCTAACATGAAGTGCTTCAATTAAAATTTGCTGTTTTTAAAGCTTCGTAGTTTTTAAAGAAAGAATATCGGATCAGTATCGACTGATACTCAAGGAATCGATACAGGTCCATTGCTCCAAAACATTTTTTTGCCCCTTTATTTTTAAGAACAAAGGAAATTATTTGACCCACAGTCAGTGCATCATCTTTGTTTATGTGTCTGTGCATTTGTCCCATCTGTGTAAGACATCTGTGCTATTGAAGATTTGTGTGGTGATGAGACGGCAAACAAAAGCAGCATTTTCCAAAGATGAGTGTTCATTCACATCTCCAAAAATAGGAGCTATTGTGGCACATCTGTTACACACTCGCCCCCATTATTGAGCATAATATAATTTCTTTATGAGCAGGTCCAGTACACGGGCAGTCATGCAAACACGTACACTGAAACTTGCCCCAACTAACGTTTCATTTCCTCTCTTGCAGTTGGCTAATTCTATAGTGTGACTCTAATTGGTTCATTCATTTCGAATCTAAGCTAATGCTGTCATTTCCTATGTAATACATTAACTTAATAGCTGTAGTGTAGCACTAATGTTTTAGTTTATTGATTTCTTATCTAAGCTAATGTGTTTCTTTGCTTATGATTCTTCTCATAAAGCCTCTACCACAGCAGCTGCTGGTACTGCAGTCACACCAGTGAACAGTACAAGTGTTTCTGGAAACCTCACGAAAAGCACAGAGGGATCTGACCTTTCAGCAAGAGATAACCACACTCTCTCCACCACGACAGCACCCACCACTGCTACCCTGACAAGCACCCAGCCACCCAAAGCCAAGCCCCACTCCAGCACATCAGCTCCCACCACAGTGTCTCAGACTCTTTCTGCCTCGACAACTTTGTCCCAGAGTACCACTGCTAGCCAAAAGTCAGCAACCACCAGCCCAGAGGCGACAACTGCTCAAACCAAGCTGACATCTTCAACAGTTACTACTAAAGGAGCAAGTACTACAACCACAACCACCCTTCAGACTACAGAGACCAGCAAGCCCCACAGCAGCACTACAATCCAGGCTGGAGCTCATGCAGACACACCCTCTGAGCTGAATGTCGGAGATGATGTTGGTGAGCATTTCATTTCCCCTAACCCTAAAGGTTGATCACGTTTAGTGTCTAAAGTTTCAAGGCTAATGTAGCTAATAAGTAGGTTTAAAGTGGCTTATTTTTCTGGAGTGTCCCTTCTTTTAAAACCATTTTAAACAACCGAAGTCAAAATCTGAAATATTCTTTTATTGTGCAAAATAGTAAAAACAAAACTGAACAAAACATAGATAAAGCTATACCAATATTGCTTTTTAACACTAACCCTGCGGCCCTTTTGCATTCTGGGACCTGATCAGGCACCTGAATGTAACTGCTGCACCATTTAAGGTAGAATTGGAAATTTGAATAAAAAGCTTCGACAAGTCATGCAGGTCTCCTTCATGCATCCCATACACTCAAGAATTCAGAATCTACTCTAATTAGTGAGTTTAGCTATTTTAAGGAGCACCCATTGTTGATACAGGTGTTCAGCACTCTGGAGCAGCCACACATGCGCCACATGAGGTATGCTTAATGCCAGGCATTGGCTAGAGGGGTATAAATCCCCCCCCAGCATCGGTCCGTGGAGCAGTGGAACTGTGTTCCTCTGTGTGATTTTAAATACATTCAGTACCTTTGGGATCAGTTGGAATGATCCAGAAAAAGTCATCCAACATCAGTACCTGACCTCACCAATGCTCTTGTGGCCGAATACAATTAAATCCTCACAGCAAAGTTCCAGCATCAAGTGTTAAGCCTTCCAAAAAGAGCCGAGGCTGTTACTGCAGCAAAAAGGGACAAAGTCCTTATTAATACCCTTTAATATAATAATAACTCATGAATTTAAAATATTGGGAACAAGTATAAACAGTGTGTGCAAAAGTTGTAGCACATTTTTATTTTTTCGAACATGTCATAAGTTTGTTCTCTGTAGAGGATGTGTTAACTTATCACTTAGAAAATCAACAAAACACATAATTTGACCAGGACCGTCCACACTATCATAAAAACCAATGAAGCAAACAGAAACCAAACAAGTCTTGGTTGATTAACTATAGTAGGAGTAAGTAAATTTGATTTCGGGCCGAGGCAACAATTTAAGTCTGATGAGGTGAAAACAGCATAATGATAGTGTGTCTATGTGTGCGGACACAGTTGTTATTAGAGTGCACTTGTTAGGTTATTAGCGTTTCAGATTTGTTTGGGTTTCTCCTGTTGGAGCGTGGATGTTTTCTTGTGTGTGTTTACTTATGATAGTTGCTATGTCTCTGTGTGCAAATGACTGTTTGTTTTAATGCGATGCATCATGTGGTCTGTTATTCACTGCCCTGCTATCAAAATGCAGCTGCGCACACACGCAAGCGCACAGTTTGCACATCTGCCCCTTTATGTAATTGAGGGCGAGTTGTCCAAAAACCTGCAGCAAGCACTTAGTAAAAACTGAATAGGGCCATCCAGAGCCCAGACCGCTGATTGTCTGTGTGTGTAAGAGGAGAACAAGAGTATGATTATACCTTTGGAAGCTGTGAGGCTAGCCAGGGGCAGGGACGACTTTACGCTGACAAAACAAAAGAACAGACTGAGCTTTGTGTCACTGCCAGCCTTATACGTCAATGTAGCGCACACGCGGACTTGTTTACACGCATATAAACACACACTGCAGAATATACTTCCTGGTATCTTTGTCAGGAATATCAGCAGCTTGCTTGGTAATTTTAGTGCCAGTGCACCTGTGAAGATATTTCATCCTCTCGTTCTTTTCTCTTACCATTCACACTAACACGTTTACCTATGAGGGGAATTGTACCTGTTTTTCTAAATTTCAGTATTAATCAATAGTTCTAAATAGATTCGCTCAGAGAGAGTGGTTTGATCTGAAATGGTGCACTGTAGAGAAACGAACTGACTCTCACTGATTTCTTTACAGTGGTGCTGATAGGAACCAGGGGTTGTGATGTCTATAATGCAAATATAACCATTTTATTTAGAATCCAAAATGACCCGTGAACTTGCATATGTCGTCTGAGTGTTGATAATGGTGAAATAGCTGTAATTCTGAAAAATACAAACTCTTTTGGGACTCTTTTGCCCTGGAATACACAAAAGAAAAAAAAGAAAAACAGAAAACAAACAAAAAAAACAGCGTCTCAGACATTTGTGACTTTCATGTAAAAACGTCTAGTGATGGAGCTGTTAGAGGCATTAAAACACTTTGGACGTCTGGTTCCCATCACCACCACTGTGAACAACTGTGACACTGACTCTTATGTTTCAGAGCATTTCACATCAAACCACCCTGACCAACAGCCTGTTTCATTACAAAGAGAGCATCATTAGCCCTGTTTAACCAGACTCAGTTGTTGGTGCTAATGGCTTTTTGTTCCTGCTTTAACATTTTAGATATTAGAAAAAAAAATTATCATGATGTCATTATCATGAAAACTTATCATGATATTGTATTTTTGCTATATCGCCCACCTCTAATGTAGTACAAAACCTTCCCAGAAGAGTAGAGACTTGTGGACAGGCTTCATGATGGCTGCTACTACTGCTGTACCAACACTACATGCATTTTATTTTTTTGTTTGTTTTTATAGGTAACAGGATGCGTATAAAACACAAAAGAAACAAACCTCAGACACCAGACACGTCTTGTCTGATTGGTTATATTTGGGGATATTAGAAAATTGTGTAGGTCTTGATTTTCTGGTGAAACCTTTTAACATATGTTTGCTACTAATGTACTTTTGCTGTATATTCAATTTATATTAAGCAATTATTTAATGTTATTACAACATTAATTACCCAGTTATATACTGAATGAAAATTACATCATAATTATTTATATATAATTACATACTTAATTACATGGTTAATTACAAGTTTTGAATCCACACTTTCAATAGAATTTCTCTGCTTGCTTCAGTGATCTACAATGCTACAATCGGTGATTCTGTAACGCTAGTTCTACGGAAATGCAGATTTCAAATAATTTGTTAAAAATTAGTAATTTTGAATGTGAACAAGTTTTTAAAATGACTTAAAGAGTGTAATGTGTAATATCTGCCTTGTATACATATGTGTTAAATAATATATCATTAATATGATGTGATTCCAAACTTATGATCATTAGTTCATTGCAGAAATATTTTCTGTTCATGATCTCCTCTTCTGCTCCTTACCAATGTTACCGGGAACTCCAGAATCCGGTGCTACCATGGATCCGCTCTTGGCTGGCCTGGTGTCTGTGTTTGTGGTGACTGCCGCTATTGTCTCCCTCCTAATATTCCTGAAATTCAGACGCCGTAACGAGCGCCCAGAATTCCGCCGACTCCAAGACCTCCCTATGGTGAGTCTGTCTTCTGTGCTGGGCCCTCTGTCACAGCACTGACATACAGTCATAAGTCATATGTTTGAACACACCACCCCTCCGCCCCACCTGTCCAATTACATTTGTTGAAAATGTTATTTAGAGCACAACTTTGACTTGTTTGCGGAGTTTTACATATTGGAAGAAAAACATAAAATATAAAATGTACCATAACTTTTGCGTAGGATAAATTTTGTTTTATTTTTTCCCCAGTATGTCAAATTCAGCATATAAGCTGTAACTGTGCATTAGAATGTGCAGATGTGTAACTTATTTTTCACTTAGAAATTAAAGAAAATGTAATTTGATCAGGATTCCCAAACTTTTGCATACTTCAGCGTTTTTTAATTTAGAGTTTGAGTTTTTAAACACTGTGTCCACTCACTGTCCACTCTATTAGACACTCCTACCTTGTCAGTCCACCTTGTAAGTGCAAAGTCAGAGACGATAGCTCATCTGCAGCTGCACAGTTTGTGTTGGTCATCCTCTAGTCCTTCATCAGTGGTCACAGGACGCTGCCCACAGGACGCTGTTGGCTGGATATTTTTGGTTGGTGGACTATTCTCAGTCCAGCAGTGACACTGAGGTGTTTAAAAACTCCAGCAGCACTGCTGTGTCTAATCCACACCCAAGTAGAACCTGCTCTGTGAGGGTCCATGGGGGTCCTGGCACTGAAGAACAGGGTAAAAGGGGGCTAACAAAGTATGCAGAGAAACAGATGGACTACAGTCTGTAATTGTAGAACTACAAAGTGCACCTATATAGTAAGTGGAGCTGATAAAATGGACAATGAGCGTAGAAACAAGGTGTATCGGTGTATAGGAAATAACAGTGTTGATGAATGAAGTGTTTCATGCTGATGTTTCTTTCTCTGCGTTATAGGACGATATGATGGAGGACACCCCTCTCTCCATGTACAGCTACTGAGCGACTGAGACAAACGCTTAAAGCCTTGAATGAGACACAGGCCTCCTCTGAGCTCACCTGCCCCGAATCCCACCATTCCTTTATTTCAGAAGAGACGTTTTGTTGTTAAGGGGCCACCGCTTTTAACCTGTCTTTATTTTTTTAAGGGGGCATGTCATGCACTCCTATTCTATAAGCGGAAGGTACCTCAAAATCCTGGGCCAAAGTAAAATGTTGTTTTTATTTCTGTTAAAGAAGGAAAATGAAGGGGAGAGGCTTAGTCCTTTTTAAATCCCTCACAGTGAGGGTGATCGATTCTGCTTAAATGCACCCCCTATCAAGATCCACTAGTTCACTGCCCATTAGTGACACCCACTGCACAAATGACATCAGATCCAGTCAAAGAACTTGAATTGTGGTTTATTTTGTGAAATGATGAGCCTAAAGTAATTAGGGGGAACCAAATACAAAGACCAAAGGAGAAATGTGCCTTTAAGACAAAATATTAAAGCTCCAGGCCAGATTTAAGTGGAATCGGTGTATTAAAACTATTCTGTATGTTTAGGATTTTTTTCTAATGTGTGTGTGCTGGTTGCTGTAGAAGTGGCTTTTTATACACAACTTGTCGGGTAGGAGATGCAGCGCAATCTTTGTAGATTGTTAGGACAGCCAGGGGTTGACCTCAAATCCTGATCTTATTTTATTACAGCAGACTAATTTGAAATGTGTAAAAGGCACACAAGCATGTAATTCACATGCAGTGCAGCTCACATGTATAAGCAAAGCTGGTTTATTCAATTAAAAGTACACACTTTGATTTTAAAACAACACCCTGCAAACTTGATTTGACATAAAACTGAAGGAAGTTTGGGGGAGGGGTTGGAGTTCGATGTGCTTCTCAAGTTTACTGTACAACAGGGTCTTCAAATCCAGACCTCGAGTCCAGTTTCTGGTCCTGGATTTTGTACTCACTTGTTGTTTATACCTTACAGTCAACCTGATATCAAAATAGACCATTTTTTACTTTTTACTGTGTTTTACTTTGAAATAGATTACAGGACAATAATTAAACATTCAAATTCACACTGACTTTAATGGGGAATTCCACTGGGTTTTTTTTTCTGCGTAATTTAAATATTGAGATGTGAACAAAGTCATTCAGAGTGATTTGATGTGAAATGATGTCAAACTGTTGAGAAGCTCACCACTCTTTTTTTTTTTTCTTTACAGTGGTGGTGACAAAGCAGGGATTATTTATTTTGCTGCTGTGGGAAAAAAACCTTGTATCTCCATTTTTGTCGTTTTTCAGTTTTTGCCATATTTTGAAAATGCTCGTTGTTCTTTAAGTGGTATGTAAATTTTATGATGAATGGACCAAAAGAAACAGCCCAAAATGACTTGGGGGGAAATGTCTGTTTCCATTGACTTACATTAAAAGTAAAGCAGGTTTTTCCTTCTCCTGTTAAATTACCATTTTGGAGATACAAGGTTTCTTTCCAACAACAGCTATTTGTAGTACTGATAAATCTGGGGGAAAAATATATATAATATAGGATTAATTTTGCTGTACAACCCCCTGCATGTACCTCTCCACAAGGAATGCATTTTTAAAAAGACTTTTCAGGCCAAAATCTTCTCTCAAACAGTATCTCGGACATCACGCAGATTACTCGAGACCATTTCATGTAATAACTTTCTGCTGGGGAGCTTTTAGGTTTACACTTCAGACGTCTGGTTCCTATCACCACCACTGTGAACAGTTCGGACTTGGTGAGTTTCTCTCAAGCAGAGCATTTTATATTAAACACTCTGAATGGCTTGGTTTACAGATTAACCATTTAATTATGCAAAAATGTAGAAAAATTGATGGAATTCTCCTTTAAGTTGTCCGGACTTGCTGGCGGGTCCATTCCTCAATCCTATGACTTCAGACTAACTCTAGTTTAAACTGCTTTATATGTAATTACTGAATAATAAGCCTTAGGATGTACTGAAGCTGGGAATTTATGGGGTTAATTAAAATGTTGTAACATTTGTGATTACAAAATCCAGGACATGAAAACTGGGTTTAAGTTCCAGATCTGCTGTAGATCCTTAAATGTAAGAACCAGTCGGAAGGAGTAACTTGTACAACATGTAAGCCTTCTTTACATTATTATATACATAAATAATGGAATTGAAATCTACAGTGGAGCTCAGAAAGCAGCTGAAGAGGCATCTTTAACAATAAAAAGTTTTACAGTGTTGAAGCTGTTAAAGCAAAGTGGCTTTTAAGACCACAGTGTGTAAATTTTTAATGTATTTGACACTTTGAAACAACAAGAAATGTTCGCAGAATGAAAATCTTTCCCCTCCCCCCCAAACGCTGATTGTTCTCTCAAGCTGGCAGCGTGCTAATCTGGTACTTTTCCAAATGCGGTTTCAGGTTTGAGTCAGCATTGACGAACACCGATTCAATCACAACCACGAAAACTGTTGTCAGTTACAGAAATAAACTGTAAAGTCCCCCAGCAAATTTTTCCTTTAGCATTTTCCATTAGCTTTTGATGCCTCGCTGTATAGTACAGTTGTTTGCTTGCACTTTATTGTGGGGTTGTGGGGGTGGGACAGTGTTGCTGTGGAAAGGTTTCAGGATGATTTTTATTTTGGTGGTGTTGTCTTTTGAATTTGTACGAGTGAAAACTTATTCCTCTGTCATAGTCATACTCTTGTAACAGCCACTTGTAGATCAGATTCACATTCTGATAGCGTCCACTCTTGGAAAGCTTAGACTGCTTGCTCAGAGAGTTTCCTTCATTACACAAAGCCTGGCTCGAGTACAAGCAAATCACTTGTTCCACACTGCAAGCTGATACTGAATTAAAAGCATCCATCAATTTCATTTCACTCATGATTCACCACAACGTGCGGGAATGTGGTCACATGTCTGAGCAGCGGTCTCGAGTACAAGCCTGTGCCTGCATGAGAACATTGAGTGAAAGGAATTCTCGAGTTAAGACTGGTTGTCAATCAAGAATTGGAGAAAATGGATTGGCATGGACAACAGACTGACCTTTACATGCCACACTGAACACTGACAAGATCACAACTGTTCCTGCATCTGTCTCTCTTCTTCTTTCTCAATGCTTGTCATGCCTTAGTGCTGAGTTTATTGTTGTAAGTCTATTGCACAGTTGAAGATGCTGAAATGTGTAACAGGATGCCACAGTAGCGGTAAATGCAGTGCTTTCTAAAGGCTCGAAAGAACCCACTGTATTCAGAGTTTAGTCATTTTGTAACCAATTGAAAAGCCATATACTTGGTTGTATTTCAGTGTCACAGTATGTACAGTTTTTGTCATGATCACCATGAAAGTTTGGCCAAAGTAGCTTTTGTTTCATCATCATATGTTCAGTCTTAAACTTACATTTCAGGCTGTACGTCTTTATCAAAGCCTAGCGAACATTAGCTGTCATTTAGCAGGAAACAGCTGTGGCATCCGTATTTTTTGTGTGGTTTTTCACACGTGTTCCACTGAAATCAGGACCCTCCTTTTTTTTTCTTTGAATTTGTTCATTGAGAGGAAACAAGGTCAGACCTTTCATTTTTGTGGTTTGTTGCTTCAGGTGAAATGTGCCAAAAGTGCTGTTTTGTATGATAAGAATTCTGCCTTTTTTTGTTTTGATGTTTCAGATGTTTTTTAATTATTAAAAGTTGTGAGAACACAGAATTTGAGTTTTTGTCTATTGAAATTTACTTGAATAAATGTGCTACAAAAACTAGGTCAATATGGCAAGTAGCTAAATGTAACTGACTAAACTTTGCTAGTTTATTAGATACAAGTAATATAATGTACCTACATTCATTAGCCAGCACTTAAACGTGTAGGTGTACATTCACCCATCGCTCGCGGAACAATTTGGAACTCGCCTTGTACCTCATTCAACAGCGAAAATGGAGAACTGTATTAAAAAGAACTCCTAACACCTGCGCAAGACCTGGTAGACCTTCAAAATTGTCCCCATCAGATAAACAGTACTTAAAGCCATTAAGCAGCCCAAGATGACTATTGTTTTTAGCTGAGGTATACTGCTGTATAGATAGATTAGATATTAGATATATCTATATTTAGAAATACAGTACTGTGCAAAAGCCAGAGACCATCCTTCATTATTTAAATTCCCATCAAAACAGCCATTTTTATATATATATATATATATATATATATATATATATATATATATATATATATATATATATATATATATATATATATATATATATATATATATACACACACACACACACACACACACACACACACACACACACAATACATCTTAATGCTATGGGTCTGAAAGAATGTGGGGCTGTCAAGAAGCCGTTACTGAGAAAAAGGAAATAAAAAGGAATAAAATTTGGCAAATCAAACAATCATTCTGCTGGTGTTCTCAGAACAATGAACTGACCACTCCAGAGTCCAGACCTGAACATCGAACGTATTTGGAATTGCTTGGACTGTGAGAAGCCGAAAATGCAACCAACTTCTAGGACTAAACTTTGGAGATGTGGAAAAATATTCCTGCAGATTTCTTTGAAAAATGGAAAACAAGTCTCTAAAAAAAAAAAAAGAGTGGAAGCTGTAATAAAGGGAAATGGGTAGACACAGTAAATAAAATTACATTTTTAAAATTATAATTATATAATTTGTTTTTTGAAATTTTTGTGTAATCAGAACACATTTCCTGTTTTTTTATAATTAGAAAATTAATAACGTGCTAAACGGTCAGATATTAAACAAATTAAGGGTGTTCTCTTTTTCACAGTATGTCATACACTGATGTTTAAGCGACTGATATTTATCCTGTCTGTTCAGTTGAAGGAGGGAAACCACAGCAAATGAGGGCTATTCCAACACGACACAGCCAAATGTCACACGGTTCGTTAAGTGAAGTTCAGGCATGATTTAAAATCCATTGATCAACATTGTGCGTCTATGTTGGGAAATATGTGTAGGAGAAAAATCCAACCACTGGAAGGTCTGTGGACAGCAGTGAAGAATGTGTGGGAAGAAGTTCACTTAAAACATTTTAAGGACTTTTGGAAAGCAGTGTGAGGTTGGCTTAGAGACTAGATCACCTACAAACTGTTGATAAACTGTTGGTGTGTATTTCTTATTGCGGTGCGTCAGTGATCATTACAAAAAAATGACCTTTGAGCAAATCTTTTTGACAGTGTAGTGTTGATCAGCACTTCGTAGCTCCTCTAGTCTCAAACAGCCGCATGCTACTTTGTCATACTTTCCTAAAATTAGTAAGTAACTGCTTCCCATACATTCTTCAGTGTGGCCCACAGACCATCCACAGTGGTTTTTCTTCTCAACGTAGCCCCACAAGATCTCAGTGGGTTTTAAACTGTGCCTGAATTTCACTAAAGGAACTGTGTGGTATCTTATATTTTGTCTTGTTATATCGGTCATTTGTTGTGGCTTTCCTCCTTTAAATGAACTGACAGGTAAAATGCACCAAATCAGTGTATGACATGTCTTTTTGGCTGTCAGCATATCACTGTTGTCGGAAGAAAACATCGTATCCCCAAAATGATAACTTTACAGGAGAAGGAAAAAACATGCTTTACTTTTAATGTAAGTCAATGGAAATTTTCCATGTCATTTTGGGCCGTTCCCTTTGGTCCATTCATCATAAAATTTACAGACAACATAAAGGTCAACAGGCATTTTCAGACTATGTCAGAAACTAAAAAACGACAAAAATGGAGATACAAGGTTTTCTTCCGACAGCAGCGATATTTTTGGGTGGTTTCTGTAGTGTTGTCATGCTGGTATGAGTGCATCAGGCACAGCAGGGTTACTGGTGAAAACACGCTCAAACTAAACTTCATCGCTCATCCAACACTCATTCGTAGTTCATACAATCACAACTTGTACAAGCATAGAACAGAAAAGGACACAGGCAGTGGCCAGAGACTGTAGACGGAGTAAGAAAGACAGAAATGAAGAGGGGAAAAAAGAAAAAAAGGGATTATGGAGGATTGGAAATGAGGCTGTCGCCTCATATGATATCTCTCTATTATTAAATAAGTATGGGTTCCTCTGGGAGCAGGGCCATGTTTAAATCTCCCCTAAATAGGTAAGAGAAGTGAAAGGTTTATAATAACATTAATTTCAGACAGGTTCTGGCTGGAATACTTCAGTACGATGTGTTCTCTTAACCCTCTCAACCTCCTGCGAACAAAACCTCAGTCTCTCCAGCTGTTCAAAATAGCCCAATCTACGTCAAGCCTAACTCATACGGGAGGGGGAGGGGTTTGGCACCACCGAAATGCCAACCAGTCTATCATTGAAAGAAGTGACACCCCCTCTTAGCATTATCTAAAGCACCTTTTCATTTTAGTACAGTACTGCGAACACTGAATAGACAGAGAGCCACTAAGCAAGCTTTCTGCTTCCAATCACAAATGGATACTAACATGCTACTCAGAATACAAGTTCCCAGTTTATTAGGCTTAAACATGATGACCACATATTCCGGGAATAGATCCCTTTAAATTTAAAAAGACAAACACTGTAGCTGGGCTAACGGGTCCCTTTCATAGCACAGCTGTTTGGAGAGATTGAGTACAAAAAGAGCTCAGTGTGTTCACGAGGCTCGTAAAGATGCTTTCACCACTGAGCAGATCGATTACACAGAGTGGAAAACATGCTTCATTTAACAAATACTGTCAGCTACACTCAGACGCCATATTCAAAAGTTAAGAGTAAGAGCAAACGAATGGTCAGTCAGATCTCCAAGCCACTTTCATAGGGTTAAGTTTTATTTTACATGTACGGTTCTTTAGGCAACTGACCAGATATGCGCACTGCTAACTGTAAACGCAGTGTTGATGTCAGAGGTCACTGAGACTGAGCTCTGGAGGACTGTCTGAAACTCCTCCCAGATCACCGCCTATGTCGTCATGGTTACTTTCAAGTCCACTCCCAAGTCCACTCCCGGCATCGCTTAGGTCACTTCCTGACAGACTCAAGCGTGCATCTCGTCTATGGCTTCTTAGTTTCGGGGCTAAAAGGAAGCAAAAGCAACGGGTCAGACTGGTCAAAATACAGTGAGAGTTGCTGATAAGTCAACAAAAAAAGCATAAAACACTGTGTGGTTTGTTGCTTCACAACAAAGTGCCAAAAGTCCTGTTTTGTACAAGAAGAATTCAACCTTTTGTGTTGATGTTTCAGTTTTAATGCACGAATTTCAAATAGATTTAATGCAAAAAACTAGATTAATATGGTGCGTAGCAATATGTAATAGACTACACAGTTTGCTAGTTTGTTAGGTACACCTAATATTACATACACTGTATGTCCAAAAGTTTCTTCTGAAGTCAAGAGTATTAATAAGGAGTTCGTCCTTCCTTTGCTGCAGTAACAGCCTCTACTCTTTTGGGAAGGCTTTACACCAGATGTTGGAACATCACTGTGTGGATTTGACTGCCATTATCCCCAAGAGCATTAGTGAGGTCAGGTACTTGTGTTGGATGATCAGTTCTGGATCACAAACATCATCCCATCCTCCATCAGTTCTTCTGCTCGACAGGCCAATGCTGTTTTTTTTTAACCCTTATTTCTGACACATGACATTTGGCATGGTTTAGGCTTACATGTGGCTGCTGTCAAGACAGATGACACTGCTTTTCTAAGGAGGTTATATAAGCTGTATTACTAGCTGAGCATAAATGGACACTTGTATCAGCTATGGGTGCATCGTAAAGTAGCTGAATTGCCTAATTAGAAGGGCTGTCTGGATACTTTTGGACATAGTGTATCTACATTTGTAGGGTCACAGTTACTGAATGTGGTCCGTCGGTTCCCTATAAATCGTCCATTAAGAGAAAAATACCACCACAAGACAACCACAGTACCAGCACTGACATTATGTGGGCAGTCGACCATTCTAAGCACACCAGAGGCACCAAAATGCATCGATAGCTGCTCTTAAGTCATGAAAACCAACTGTCATTTAAGAAGCTTTCATTAATGGACAGTAGGAAACAATTCAGTACATCATGAAATCTCAAATTCCACCGTGATCCAATTGTTCTGGCATGATTCAAAGGTATTTTTGAATGCAAAAAGTGCAAAAATTTGATGAATATACAAAATATGACAGGAGGAACAGCAGTGCAAAACATATAATAAAAATAATACAGCAGTTTACTTTTTGGGCTTGTACGCTTGAAAAAAGCCAGGGAATTTCAATTTGGCCATCAAATTAACCACATACTTTTCTGAATTTGATTATAATCGATTCAAACATTCCAAAATCAATGCGGCTGAATCATCCACTTCAGACTATTTTATGCCTTATTACACACCTCGACTGGACAGAGGTCTGTAACTACAGCATTTAAGTGCAAAATTCTAGAGAACTCCTCTGATCTTTATCTTCCATTAGAAACACAAAGATGTCGGCTCAGCGCTTCCCCTAGATCTTCTTTTCAGGCGGGTGGTAGACCCTTTATATGAAATGTATTCATTTGCAATGCAATGAATACACCACACATGTGAATACACCATTTTTTATGCTCCCTATACATTCATTTTCCAGGACTGTGATTGTGAGATTGGAAGTTTATTAATAGTCAGTTAATTTATACTCAAAAAATGTACGTGCAACTGACTGCTTTACACTTGGTACTACATTTTATCCCCTACTCAAGGGTACAACACCTGTAATGCCAACCGAAACACATTTCAGTTTGCAGAAAAACAGTTTCTTTCAGGATAAAGAAATTCTGTGATTTAAGCCTGTGACTAGATGCTGTTCCTCCAGTACAGACCAGCTTGCCTGAGCCACAAACTCATATATCACGCTGCTATATCAATGACCAGACTGAAAGACCTGCATCTTTACAGTTGAAAATAGATAAATTAATTTTACTTTAGCGAAAAAATTACGCATACCACGTAAAAAAAACGAGTGCTAGGAAGCAAACATTAGCTTGCCAGCCACATCCTAATGTCTGCATCTCATCCAAGCCGGGTGGCATGTGACATTGGCCACTTAATGACAGGGAAAACGTTGTCGCTTAGCCCTCTCAAGAGTGTCCCTTGCAGGTCAGCGCAGTGCAAAAGTACAGGAGGGGTATGTGTACAGTGGGTCTGTCCTAGTTCTGGAGAGCTCAATCCTCTACCAAATATAGCAGCTCAGGAGATGAACGAGCAGGAAATTATCTCTCCCTCTCTTCCTGCATTAAACACCCTCAGGCAAAGGGTCTGCAGAGCTGTACCAAATTACTACTACAGGAAACAGGGAACAAACCAGCTTCGTGGGTTTGTGTGCATGTGTGAATGAAAAAAAAAAAAAGTACCAGTAAAAGTATGTGTTCCTCAATAAATATTAATACACCTACCCATCTCACTTATGTTATGGCTGCGTTATAAATACATCAGCTTGTGAGTACATTAGTGTGTGCATGTGTGTGTGTTTCAGGTCTCAGGAGACATCTCTTGGCTCCATATTTGGAACAACCAGATGCTCTCACTTGAGACAAAACATGGCTCCAACAGGAACTTGTCCAAGAAAGGCAAGGGCCTTGGCAATGTCAGTGGACAGTGCCATTAAAACGTGTACACTAAAGTCACCTCTAATGACATTAACTATCACACTTCACTGTGAATCTTAGCTTCAAGTATTATAATAATAGCACATCACTTTCCATAAGAGTGCTTATAAAGTTATGAAAGAGATAATGTGTATTATTTTAAGCATCATTTCTGTTTTATGTCATTTTATGTGTCTTAGTCAGGGCTTTTGCCTTTCGTGTGTCTGTCAAGGTTGAAAATTAGCCAACACAGTTCAACTGACACACTGTTAGAAGTGCTTATTAAAAGGGGAATTCCACAGATAATGCATAACTACATTTACTGCCTTTCAAAGCTACATTATATAATGTCATTACAAGAAATTGTCATGAATATGCTGCCTGTTATCTGAGACATTGATTTATGATAGTTTTGAGGTATTGGCCTAAAACTTATATTATTTTTTACTATTTTTTTTAATACATTCATGGTACAGACATATATACAGGTCGTTGCGCAACACAATACTGCACGAAGATACTATTTTTCGGATTTACCACTATTTTATTATTATCAATATTACATATACCAGCTCAAAAAACATATTTAGGTAAATAAATTGACTATATTTGTGCTGCAGCCACTGGCACCAGAACATGTGAGTGGTGGAGTGGGAGTGGGGGGACATGATTTCGCTCAGAGCTAAAGCAGCTTTTCAGAAAGTCCGAGCGTCAGAGTTCTTTTTCACTGTAAAATCACTCCAGTATCACTCCATCCTGTGAGCCAGACAGTCCTTTTGTCCACACTGACTCCGTGTGGCATGAGTGATGAGGCAGTGACTGCTACAGCTCGCCCACGATGGCCATTCATACACAGTGTCTGCGCTGCGGAGCTGTTCAACAGACCTACACGCTGGAAATTCACTGATCACAACCAAGTTCTACAGACTTTACACAGATTTACTCTCATGTCCCCATTTTTTGCACGAATGGTAAAGTGAATTGTGTTGAAAGCACATGTATTTGTTTACCCAGTTTTCCAGCTTGTGATGGAGCTATCATTTCAAGCCTGTACCTTCTGAAAAAAGCCTTTGTAGCACAGAAAGTTTAACTAGTTTTTCATTTAACAATGGCCATAAATTACATAATTAATGAAATCAAGTGTGTAGTGTCTTGTCCATGCATTCAAGACATAAAAATCATAAGAATGAATCATATGGAGTGGGCTTTCTCTGACATGTAAGTGATAAGAGAGTGAGGAACGGGAAATAGAAAGCCCAAAGTGGAGCTATAGTGGAGTGATTACAGAAATGCTTTGAGTGAAAAGTGGAAATGTCTGCTGCTCCACTCCACTCACATACTCTGACTGGCACCCCTGGCTCATCAGCACCAAATGACTTTGTTTACATCTCAACGGCTGAATTATGCAGAATTTTTGAAAAATCTGTTATATTTCCCTTTAAATTAATGTGCACTGCCCCTGTAAATCTAAACTGAGAAAAGTGCAGTAAACCAATAGACCTAATACAGCCACAGTTCATGCCTAACCCAGCTATGTGTTTTCTGTACATCAATACTGCACTTGTTTCTGAAATCACTCATTATTCTCCCTCAAATTTCCTTTCTTTTCTCTTTCCCTCTCCCTCTCTGTCTTTTTCTCTGAACCATTTTTCCAGTGCGATTGTGCTTGAGTATTTAGTATGTCAGGATTATAATAGAAATAATGGCAGCAGTTACTGGATAGATGAGAAATGCATGTGCATTTTGTATGCCTGCGCAAATAAGACAAGATGATAATTAACTTGGACCAGGTGCGTCCAAACGTTTGCATACAAACGTATGTGTGTGAATGTGTGATTCAGGCCAGGGCGACAAAACAATACCGCTAATCGCTGAAAGCAAACTTTTTTTTCAATCAATATCAATATTTCACATATTATCGATAAAATTATTTATGTTGTCTAGTTTTTCAATCCAGTATAAGCAGATTGGAACGGGTTTAGTTTCCTTAAATCAGATGTCTTGTGTGCTTCAAGTTTAAAAGTAACACTCTGATTTAAAATTTAACATTAGGAAATACAAAGAGTCAGGGATCAATACTGAATGACATGGACATCTCATGATAAACCTTTTGGACTTATTGCCCAGCCCTAGTGTGTGTGTATTATTGACCGCATGTGAATGGCGTGCACATGTGTCTCTAACCAGATTCTCCAAGCCAGGATGTGTCCAGGTCGTCTGAGCTAACCTCCCCAAGGCTTGGGGTGGGGCTAAAGTCATCTTCCGAATCAGACAACACTCGTCTCAGGGGACTCGTCTCCACAGCAACTGCTGATGCTGAAGGAGCTTTGGACAGAAAGCAGAAGGTGAGGGTGGAGACAGTCAGCAAAAGAAGACCACACTGGCTTGTTTGTGCTGGTGTGTGTGTTACTTGGTTTGCATAGCACTTCTGCAGGTGTGGGGAGTCTGTCTCTCAGAATCAGGCCTCTCACTTCATCCTTCAGTTCAGATACTGTAAGTCTACCAATGTGACACACAGACAAAAAGAAAGAAAATAGACAGCATTAAGTACAATCTAAATTTATTCTATTATGTTGTACATTTTTATAGACATTTAAGTCATTTAAAACTAAACACAAAAATGTACTTCTTTTATGAGACAATTGAACAGTAATATGTGTAACATATTAAGGGTTTGATTGAAAGAGTGCCATAGTAGTGAACAATTCATTCTTCATATGTTTTGCTCCAAGTGGTTCTCCTGCAGAGTTTTATTACAGCTCTAATCAGATCCACCTGATTCTCAACTTCTCAGATACTTCTAAATGCTTGATACACTGAAGCAAGAGTGCTAATTAGTTAGGAGTAGTACCAACAAAGAAGATGAAGGCTTTCCTATACAATACATCAGAGTAAGAGTACATCACTGCAAACTAGTGGAATATTTCATAAAAAACTAACTGAATTAGATGTCTAAAATAATGATAATAGTAACAGTAACAACATAAATAAATTTTGTCAACTTGCTTGATAGAAAATTGATTTTAAAAAATGTTTGAATATCTTTGGTCTGTATTGTATGTGATATATCCATATGCGTGAGTGTGTACGTACCGGAGCTCTCGTACATCTTGCTGTGTGTGCTGGTACTGGGAGACAATCCTGGCCAGTTCAAAACTGTGTGTACGGTAGGAATCTGTGAGGGTTTCCAATGTCTGTACAGACAGAAACCATTATGGATACAGCAATCATGAGCACAACAGTCACCACAGCGACTCTTCAGATATACAAAGTTTGAAAACCCCTGGTCACACTACATGTTTTGTTCATTTCTAAGTGAAAATAAATTAACATCTATTCTGCAGGGAACACACTTAAATTTTTTTTCCCCCATATTTTAGTACACAATTTCTTTTTATTTCCTGAGGTTAACATATTTGAAAAAAAATAATATAAAATGTGCCATAACTTTTGCAGAGACCACATTTTAGTGTATTTTTTTCCAAATTTATTAACAATAAATGTAGATTAAAATATACAAAGGTGTGCTCTCTGTAGTGGATGTGTTCACTTCTTTTTATTTAGAAAATAAACATGTAATCAACACATGAAGTCTGACCATGAAGGCACAGACATTAGCACACACCTGTACATTCAAACAGTTCTGTTATTGTCTACAGGAATAATTTGGCAAAAAAAAGGCAAATCTAACTTACCCAGTTTTCCCCTTACCCCAAACGTAGTTAATCAGCCAGACATGTTGGCTGTCTAAAGTCTGCTTCTTAAGTTTTACATAAGGCTAATGCAGCTAACAAGTAATAAAGGTTTATGCTCACTAATCAGCACTGCGCAAACTGCACAACTAAATAAATCACACACTTGCCACTTTGAGTTGTTAAGTAATCTAAAATAGACTTGCTTATGTGGTGTCTGACACTGAATGATATACAGTTAATTATAAATATGGATATAAGCAGCCTCAGAATGGCTGTTCCTACTGTTATTAGCTGAGAAACACTGCAGTCCATCTTTATATAGACACTCAAAAGAAAATAAGTGAAAAAAAAAAAACAGTTTCCAAAATGGGAGTTAAAAAAATATTAAAAGATATAGGGAAGATGTGGATCCTAACAACTGTGCAAGACCTGGTAGAGTCACCATCAGATGAACAGTACTTACACAGGAGAAAATCAAGCTTCCTGCTTGCTTTAGTTCTTAAATAAAAAGACATATCCATCCTTCCACTGTGAGCGAAAAAAAAAAATCAATGCTGTGGGTCTGAAAAAATGTAAAGCTGTCAAGAAGAAGAAAATTTGTATCTCAAGCAAAGAAGCTGGTGTGCTTAGAAAAATTGATGGACCTCCCCAGAGTCCTGACCTCAACATCACTGAATTTGTTTGAGATTACTTGGATTGTAAGACACAGAAAAATACACAACCAACCAACTGAACTTTGGAGGTGTGGAAAAATTTCAGATCTCTTTGAAAAATATGAAAGCGAATCTCTCAAGAAGAATGGAAGCTGTAATCAAGGTAAAGGGTGGACACACTAAATACCGAAAACATTGAAATCATATTTAGTTCTTGAGACTTTTGTGTAATGTATGAAAACATAACTTTTACGTAATGACCATTTTGAATGGAAATTAAATTAATGAAGTGTGTCTCTGACTGTTGTATAGCACTGCATCTAAAGAAAAGACATAAGCAAGTCTATTTGATGTTACTTATTATCTCAATGTGGTCTGTGGCAAGTGTGAGATGATTTAGACATGCAGTCTGGATGATGCTAATTGCTGGTGTTAAAGATTCCATTATAGACTTATAGGCTACATTAGCCTCACAGCTCCAGTGCAAAACTAAGGAAACAATCTTCAGACAACAAAAATGTCTTGGCTGATCGACTACATTTGTAGTAAGGGAAAAAATGTATACATTATTATTATTATTGTAAATTTTATGCTGAACTGTTGCTTTAAAAGTGTGTATACAGTTGTAAATAGTCCAGCATTACTTTGTCACATTCGATACCTTGCAGCTGCGTTCATACTGCCTCCTTGTTTCTCTTGCCTCTGACTGCTGTTGGTACATATCCTCCTCTTGCCTCACTATAAACACACACACACACATGCATGCAGGGTAAGATTTAGAGAACAGGAGATCACCACATCCTCTCATCATCAGAGACATGAGCTAGTATGTGCGTACATGTGTGCATGTGTGCATGCAGGAGCCTAGTTTCAAGGTGCTGTTCTTATTTTTGTGCAGTATATTTTTGTGCTGTGTATGTTGGCTGAGGGTGCAGTTTGGCAGGCTATGTGTTTTTGTTGGATGCAATTCCAGGGTCCTGACACTAAAATATGGTGACAGCAATGCAGTAGGTTCTCTGTCTGTCACATTACACAACCCACATTACAACAGACAGCCTGAAAAATACGGCTGTCAACCTTGGTGAATTAGTACGGCTATAATCACAGTGGACATGCTGAAGAATTAATAGAGGACCAGTAATAAAATGAGAAATAAATGGATAAATTCCAAGTTAAGTGTTAATATAGCCATGGTTCACTGAAGGATTAAAGTTACACAATTTTCCCCCTTTCCAAAATGTAGTCATTCCGCTAACACATGTTTGGCATCTGTATTTTTCCTGATTAGTTTTGCACGGGATTTACGAGGCTAATGTAGCTAATAAATAATGAAAGCTTTTATTGAACCTGTTAGCATCACATCACTTGCCTGAAACCGTGCCAAGTAATCTCAAATAGACTTGTTTATGTGATTACTGACATTGTATGACAATGTTATTTATAAATAGACAAAAATACAAAAAACACTCTTGCTTTAAAGGGGAATTCCACTGATTTTTCAAAATTTCAGCATAAATAAATCCATGTAGTTTGAGGTCAAAGGTACCATAAAACGTACTGAGTCAGGATTGTTTACAGTGGTGATGAAAGGAACTAGACTGGTGTTGTAAGGCAAAATATAAGAGTGTTTTTTCAAATGTGCCATTATTTTACCCTTATCAACACTACATATAAAAACTCGTACAGATGAAGGTTCACTGGTCATTTTGGAGAGTAAAAAAAATAGCTATATTTGCATTGTAGACATTGGCCCTAATCCATCAAAGTTGCACAGAAACAAGTGCAGATTTGATCATCCTGATGCACAAACTGTCTGATTCATGAAACTGCCGCACGGCAACAAAACAAGCGGTGACTTGATGACTAAGCTTCAGTGCTTAGAAACAAGCACCCACCCAAGTACCTCATTTATACTTATTTATACCTTATTATTTATATTATTTGCAGAGGCATAATAAAACAAAATAATTCAGCAGCCCATAAGTCAATGGTTGTCCTCATAGGCGGAGTTTGGGGTCGAGCAGGAAGTGCCCTGCCCCCTCTACTGGCCAGAGCTTAAACAGCTTTACAGTAGCCTTTTTTTCAAATGGTAGGGTGATGCGATTGTGTAGTGTGATTATTTTTATAAAACGCTGGCTGCATGAGAGATAATATTGAAGTATGAGTTGGCTTCTTGTGTACTATGTAAACTTTAGTATTTTAGGGAGGCAGTTTTTTTACGATATGAGTAGTACAGAGCAAAAGTCACTTAATGGAATCTATAGCTGCAACATTTGTTTTTCAGTTTGCATGTAAAAAACTACTATAGCCTTTTTAGTACAGGGATTGCTGTGTGCACAATTATTAATATTTTCACTGTTATTTTCTTATGTACTGTTATTGCTGATATTATTGATGTTATCGATATTCATTTATTATTTAACCGCAAAGCAAGTATAAATATTCCCCTCAAATTTAGTCTACCAGACATAATTGTAGAGGTTGCACAGACATACCAAAGATGAAACTGATGAATTACAAAACTGTCTATGAAATTTACGCGCAATTGTTTTAGGACCAGATTTGATCGCACAAAACTTTAAAGAATAAAGGCCATTGTGCGCCCTAGTTCCTATCACCACTCTCACAAAGAAATCTCAGTCTGTTAGTTTGTCTACCAGAAACCATTTCTTATCAAACAACACTGAATGACTGTTTGCAACTCAGTGACTCAGTGAGTTATTCAGAAATTTTGAAAATTTGGTGGAATTCCTAATGCAGTTTAATAATAAGTTAGTCTCAACTCCAGTCCAAAACAAGAATTTCAGACACCAAACCTGTATCGGCAGAACATTTATGTTGGGGGTAAGGAGAAAATTGTGTAAATTTGATTTTTTAGTGAACTGCTCCTACGGTGTATATGGACATAGCTGCATAAACAATGGGAATGTATGGTTGTAAGTAAACTCACTCAACTTGCTTTTGAGCAGGTCCACCTCTCTCCTGAGCTGTTCAACCTCCTCTCTGCGCAGTTTAGAGCTGAAACTGAAGCCACCCAGCATTACAAAACCATTACAAACACCAAACAGTGCCTCTCTGCTATTATAACTGCAGAATCTGCCTTTAAACAGGAGCAACATTTAAAGCAAGGAACAGTCACCTGCTGACGGACAGGTAACCTTTCATCACACACCTGAATGCTAGAACGCCTAGCCGACGCCACTGACCTTTCCTCCTGGTTGCCTAGCGACGTGGCCCTGTCAATGTGGCCTCTGAGGCTGCTCAACTCTCGTCCCACTTCTCTCTTCCATTGCTCCAGCCGTCTCTCCGCCCCCGAGTCCTTCTCTCCTTCTTTCTCTCTCTCCCTCTCTCGCTCCCTCTGCCTCTCCCGGTCCTCCAACCTCTCCTCAAGCCTCCTCATCTCATCTGGAGGCATGCATACATTAAAGACAGTACTTTTAATGAACTGAATTCAAAGTCAGGCTGTATTATTATAAGGTTTTGTCAACAAAAGCAATTCGAAGATGGTAGGACAGTAGCATAGATGTCTATTTAGCAATGTTTCATAAACAGTCCTGTGCAAAAGTTAATTTATTTAATTTCCAGTCAAAAAGGTCATTAAGTACAAGTGTAATATTCCATGTTTTTTTTTCAGCTTCCACGACACATTCAGTGATGTTGAGGTCTGGGCTCTGGGGTGGCCAGTCTATTGTTCTGAGAACAGCAGCTCTGTTGTGTATTTGTAGTGCACTGCCCAGCGGTGCTCACCCCACTGAATTAAAATCTAGAGTGGCTGTTTTTTAGCACTGAAAACAGGCTATTAAATGGGATGCTAAGCTCAACTAGAAGCTAAACAGCCCAAATATACTTCAGAACATTCTCCTGAAAGGAGAGTTCAATTGTACTGAGAAGACAAAATTATGGGAAGAATTTTATCATGTTTGTATCCTGTAAATATTGCAGCATTATGTGCAAGATCAGAGTGGAAAGCAGGCAATGCAGAGCAGCTCTCAGGACTATTTAATATGCATATATGTCTGATTATTTTACATTATTGAGTTCAGTGCTCAATGTCTGTGTCTGTTTTTAATCACCAATCTTCAGAGGGAGAGGGAGAGGGAGAGAGAGAGAGAGAGAGAGGGAGAGAGAGAGAGAGAGAGAGAGAGAGACTCACCTTGTAATGTCTGTATTTGTCTTTGCTGAGCATTTCTCTCTCTCTCCACTGTCAGCAAGCTCTGCGTTAGGAATTCAATCGTCTGCAGAACAACAAATATAACAATATCCTCCATCAATGTGTTGATATATGGCTAGAAATGTTACAAAGTGAATTATGTCTTATCTCTCTTGCACTCATTTACTTGCTCTCACTCTGCGTCATACACACTGACACAAACAGGACCTGGCTATGGCTGTGGAGTTGGGCCTGTAAGCCTGCCAGATCTGCCCACTGAACAGCACCGCTGAGAGTGGAGGATGCCTGGGGGAGAGGAGGGGGCACAAGTGGATCCAGACCCACAGCATGACTCTTCTCTCTCACCGGATACACATCTACAAAAAGAAGGGGAAACAGTAATGGAATTAAAAATAAAGGATGTAAGAAAGGTTCGGGATTCCTTATTGCCACACCAAATTGCCTTTACCATTTAGGTCCATTAGAACACAGTGTATAACAAAGATTAAGTAAAGTGCAAGAATGAGGGAACAGAGCTGGAACACATTAAAACAACCTAACACGTGCCACATTACCACATATCCCATAAAAAGTCATAATAATAATAATAATAATAATAATAATAATAATAAAAGTCATATTAATACTTCCCCATACATTTCACAGAATAAAACGTAAATAAAGAAGATCAGCATTCATGGAATTACCTTCTCTTCCTCTGGAAAGCCTTCCATGTGTGGTAAGCCGTTCCTTGTAAAACAAAGCACCACACATTTCAATCTGTGTCAATCTATTCATGATCCTAGCTGCTGAGCTAAATTATTACAGAGATACAATGGGGTGCCACCTAGTGGTCAAAGACTTCACCTGAAAACAAACAGTGTACTTCAAAAATTATTCTGTAGCCATAGCTTAATGGTACAGCAGCAACTGGAACCTGTCAGTGAGTATTAGCCATTGAACAGGGAAATACTCAGCCCATTCTGTATATTTTCAGCATATGCTGAAGGATTGGGATGTACTGATATACAAGTATTGTGAATACATATTTAAAATACAAAAAGTAAGTATCTGCATTCAGTCCAAGTTACATTTTGAAAAGGCAGTATTCAGAATAGAGATACTTTTTACATTTTTAAGAGTATACTTTCTCGCTAAATAAAAAAAAATAAATCTACAAAATAAACACCATCAGTGCTTGTTTATTATCTATATTAGAATCAGAATAGAATCACACTAAAGTCAGAGTAGACTTATAAATCAAGCTGATGAGCCAGTTATTAATCTCAGTGTTACTGCGCTCTTTTAAGGGATGATCAAACTAATAATCTCCTCAGTAGTGGACATGTTTGCATTGGTGATTTTCTTCGTTTAAATGATAAGCATTATTTTAAGAAGTGTATTAACAAAACAATTACATAAAGAAATCTGCCAACGAGTACTAGCAAGAAACAGTATGAAATGAATTAAAAAAAAAGGTCTTAACGATTCTCAGTGTATTCTAAATGTATTCTGAATACATTACTTTTTAAGTATTGTAACAGTATACACTAGTGAATACATTTAGGACAGTGTCTTCAGAACCTGTTCAAAGTATTAGCCACATAGGGTTAAATTATGATTCTTACCCGCATTTTAGCAACACTGCCATCAGCTGCAGATATAATAGAGCTCAGCTGATTGTCCCAGTTCATTCTGTCAGCCTGCAAAAGAAAGCAGAAACCCAGTTCTCAGTTTAGTTGATGCTGAGCGGTTGGAGGCGATGCATTCACACGCAGACTATTAGAGTTCACATTAGCTAACTTGGCCATTTCAGGTCCCCTTCCACTCTCTGGATGAGTTCCAGTCACAGTAAGCTGTTAATGCAGTGCAGGCTCTAAACATATCCAACTCGCCCTGTGGTTTATGCCGTTTTCGTGAGTGTCAGATGATTTGTACTGCATACAGAAAGCATCTGATGATCTGAAACCTTAGCTACTCCCACACAACACCGCTAGCAAGAGTTATTTACACAGCTGACCCGCTGTTATTACACTGCTAGCTGTCTGGCTAGCTAATCTAGTCACCTCAACATATTAACACGCTCACGTACGACAAACTGAGTCCGGTTTCTTTCCTTCAGGACATTTAAACAGCCGTAAATATATCATATTAGAGTGGCCACACACCACTGAAATAAGAGCGAGATTTAACACAAAACAATTATCGTCTCACATACAGGCAAAGCAGACTTACAACAGCCAGCAGAGTCACTTTTTAAAAGCTGGAGCCTCTGTGAATTACGTCAACACGTTAGAGGGACGCAGCCTTGGCTGAGGATTCTGGGAAATGAAGTTAAAACACACAAATGTCTTTCTTTGTTTGTGTCTTGTTATTTTAATAAGGTATGAAAGGCGATATTGAATGGCTGTTTTAATCATGACCATTTTTATCAATGTGAGATAATGTAACAGTGGGACTGTATCGATGTGGGACGCGATGTGTAACTGGATATCGAACTCCCGTAAGTCGGGAAATCTCCACTGTTCCAAATGGCGACCTCCTGTGACGGTGTGGAAAAAGTTGTCGGGACGCTAAGGGAGTCTTTGAAGTCGTTAGGCTTTGAAGTTTATCCTTTCAAGGTATAGTGTTCATCCTAGAGAGCAATGCGATATTATTTTGTGGTTAAATAAACACGTTCTCTGTTTAACAGGCGATTGTAGCCTAGCGCATAGCTAAGGAAGACTCCTTCAGAATCTTCTAGATCTTTTAGCTGCAGTGTAGTGGGTTACGTCAGTACGTTTAGTTCAGAAAGATAGTTTAACTCTAAAACCAAACCAGCTAGCTTTACCATATCAGAATGTAGAATATATTTGCGCGTAATGCTCAGAATGTCTGCATGTGGCTGTAAATATGCTGTTCAACGGTCTAAAGGGAAATATCACCCAATTTTCCGATACTGGTGGTCGTCCAGATCCCTTCGCCCTGCACAGACAGCCTGCCTCTTTCAATTTTTTACCACGGTAACCTAAAGTTAGTTTTATTTTCCATATTCGTCTTTTCCACGCTAATAACATTTGATCGGACTACGGTAGTCAGCGAAGACTTACACATTCATGACAGTACGACCACAGAGAGAGATGCACACCTGTTCTTTTGCAGTTTGGGTGACATTTAACGACCACGGTAAAGTTAGTTTTATTTTCCATATTCGTCTTTCCGGCGCTAATAACATTTGATCGGACTACAGTAGTCAGCGAAGACTTACATATTCATGACAGTACGACCACAGAGAGAGATGCACACCTGTTCTTTTACAGTTTGGGTGACATTTAACGTACTGCTATTTTGTGTTAATACCATAGAACTGAGACAAGTTTTTCAATCAGAAGAGAAAGCATGCACTTCTAGACCACACCTACATCCATGCACACGCATTTGTTTTCCTCCAAAGCGTTTCAGTGCATTTAAATACATATTTAATTGTTCATGCTAACAATAGACACCGCCAGACAATAAAACGTCAATAGCTCCATAAACACTGTGTCCATGCACATCTGATTAATTGTGTTATTTGCTCTAAATTATGGTTAGAAATACACACCACTTTAATTTAGAACTTTGAAGGACTTTGAATTAACCTGTAACTAAAATGTACTTGCCAATACTTGTCCTAACAGTACTGAGCATACCTTACCTGTAAAAACTGATATTACCTGTATACTGATATAGCTAGTTAGCTTGATGACGGAGGTTCAGTAATCAATTAGCAGTCTTGAAGGTTCAATAGATCCTTAACCATCTAAAATATTAGTTTAAAAAATAAGAGTGTAGAAAAGAAAACGTCTTATTTAAGTGGATCAAATTGCAACTCAAAACGTTTTTAAATCCATCAAAAACTCAGTGAGTCAGGCTTAAGTTATTTTTTCCATTTTCAATTTCGACATTTTAGATATTGAACATTTAAAATACTGCTTAGATTCAAAGTGCAGCATTCACTGCAATTAATACAGCTGAAATGCTTTTGAAGGTTAAAATACAAATATTAATATAAAGTAAATATTGCAGTACATTCAAAATTCAAAAGTTGTGTATGGTTGCTGAAACCTCACTGCACCATACACAATTGTTTTAGTGTCGGGTGTAATACAGCTGAAATATTATTAAAATTCAAAATATATAAAAATTAATAAAAAGTAGTCACAGCAATATATCAAAAATCCAAAGGCTGACACCTCACTGCACCATACACAACTGTTTTTAATGTTGTAAATAATGCAGCTAAAATATTATTGAAATTCAAAATATATATAAATTAATAAAAAGTAGTTACAGCAATATATCCAAAATCCAAAAGCTGTGCATCATTGCTGACACCTCACTGCACCATACACAGCTGTTTTTAATGTTGTAAATAATGCAACTGAAATATTATTGAAATTCAGAATACACAAAAATTAATAAAAAGTAGTTACAGCAATATGTCAAAGATCCAAAGGCTGTGCATCATTGCTGACACCTCACTGCACCATACACAACTGTTTTTAATGTTGTAAATAATGCAGCTGAAATATTATTGAAATTCAAAATACATAACAATTAATAAAAATTAGTTACAGCAATATATCCAAAATTTAAACACTGTGCATCATTGCTGACACTGCACCATACACAGCTGTTTTTAATGTTGTATATAATTTAGCTGAAATAGCTTTATACTTTATATTAATGTTTATGTATTTTGAATTTCAATAGAATTTCAACCACATTACATACATCACTAAGACCATTGTATATGGTTCAGCAAGATGTCAGCAATCATACACAAGTTTTGGATTTTGGATGTAATGCAACATCTCATTTAAATATTTTTTTATATATAACTATATATAACTGCTTTATATAAATTTTTATTTATTTTGAACTTCAATAATTCAGCCACATTACATACAACACCAAGAATAACTGTGTATGGTGCAGCTAGGTATCACCAATCATACACATTTTTTGGATTTTGGATCTAATGCAATATCTCATTTAAATAATTTTTAATATATTTTGAATTTCAATTATATTCCAGTAACATTACATACAGCACTACAAAGAATTGTGTACAGTGCAGTGAAGTGTCAGCAGTCATACACACCTTTTGGATTTTGGATCTAATGCAATAAATACGTTATATTTTTTTATTTAATTTTAACTTCAATAGTGTTTTGCCCATCTTACATACAACACTAAAAACTACTGTCTATGGTGCAGTGCAGTGTCAGCAATGATGCACAGCCTTTACATTTTTGATATATTGCTGTAACTACTTTTTATAATTTTTTTCAGTATTTTGAATTTCAATAATATTTCAGCTGCATTATTTACAACATTAAAAACAGTTGTGTATGGTGCAGTGAGGTGTCAGCAATGATGCACACCCTTTGGAATTTTGATATATTACTGTAATTACTTTTTATAATTTTTTTCAGTATTTTGAATTTCAATAATATTTCAGCTAAATTATGTACAACATTAAAAATAGCTGTATATGGTGCAGCAAGGTGTCAGCAGTGATGCACAGCCTTTGGATTTTTGATATATTGCTGTAACTACATTTTATTAATTTTATGTATTTTGAATTTCAATAATATTTTAGCTGCATTATTTACAACATTAAAAACAGTTGTGTATGGTGCAGTGAGGTGTCAGCAATCTTTAAATTTTGGATATATTGATTTAACTTTTATCAATTTTGAATTTCATTAGCATTTCAGCTGTATTACACCCAACACTACAAACAATTGTGTATGGTGCAGGTAAGTTACAGGAATCATACACAACTTTTGAGTTTTTAATGTACTGCAATAATTACTTTATATAAATATTTGTATTTTAACCTTCAAAAGCATTTCAGTTGCATTAATTGCAGTGAATGCTGCACTTTGAATCTAAGCAGTATTTTAGCTACATTATATCCTCAAGTAAAATTCAAAGTTTGTGTGTCATTACTGAAACCTATCTGCACCAAACACTGCTGATTTAAATTTTCAGTGTCTAAAATGTTATCGAAATTCAAAATGAAAAAAATGTACAAGATTTAAAACTTACATCTGACTCAGTGTTTGATGGATCTAAACAACTTTTGATTTGTATTTTGATCCACTTAAATAAGACATTTTCTTTTCTACACTCTCATTTTTTAAACTAATATTTTAGGTGGTTAAGGATCTATTGAACCTTCAAGACTGCTAATCGATTACTGAACCTCCGTCATCAAGCTAACTAGCTATATCAGTATACAGGTAATATCAGTTTTTACAGGTAAGGTATGCTCAGTACTGTTAGGACAAGTATTGGCAAGTACATTTTAGTTACAGGTTAATTCAAAGTCCTTTTTCTAAATTAAAGTGGTGTGTATTTCTAACCATAATAACAAATAACACAATTAATCAGATGTGTATGGACACAGTGTTTATGGAGCTATTGACGTTTTATTGTCTGGCGGTGTCTATTGTTAGCATGAACAATTAAAATATGTATTTAAATGCACTGAAATGCTTTGGAGGAAAACAGAGGCGTGTGCATGGATGTAGGTGTGGTCTAGAAGTGCATGATTTTCCTTCCGACTGAAAAACTTGTCTCAGTTCTATGGTATTAACACAAAATAGCGGTACGTTAAATGTCACCCAAACTGCAAAAGAACAGGTGTGCATCACTCTCTGTGGTCGTACTGTCATGAATATGTAAGTCTTTACTGACTACCGTAGTCCGATCAAATGTTATTAGCACCGAAAAGACGAATATCGAAAATAAAACTAACTTTACCGTGGTCAATTTTTTGTGCCATGTCCAAATTCTGCTCTCCAGTTGGTGCATTTTTATTGAATTTTCTCGAAAATGCATGCTGCACACTCTTGTTTGAGTATGTTCGAGCATATTCTAACACACAAAATGCCTTTTTTTCATTTTTAGTGAACGCAATTCTTCAACCTGAAAAAAAAAACATTAAAAATTAAACTTGGTTAGTTTTTACACATTTTGTTAAAATTTGAGATCACTTGAGGGAGAATTGGCTGTTATTATACTACGAAATGATGTCAGTTTTTTTGGGACACCCTGTAATTTAGAGTGGTTTGGTATGAAATGCTCTGTTCTAAAGAAACTTACCGACTTACTGAATTTTTCACAGTGGTTGTGATAGGAACCAGACATCTGAAGAGTTTAATGTCTCTTAAAGCTCTCTTACATAAAGTTATTCCACAAACTGGTTATGAACACTGCCTGATGCCCGAGACTTCGTTTTTGATAGATTTTGATAAAGTGTTGGCCTAAATGCCTTGTTAGTCCATTTATTTTAATCCATTCATGACAGAGGAGTTTTCATATAGGAAGTTGTAAGCCAAAATAGTCCCCTAAGAAAATGTATTTGTTCAGGTTTTTCACTGTTTTACCATCATAGACATTACATATTAAAGCTCACATGTAGGTTCACTGATGGTTTTGGATAGTAAATAAACTGGATATATTTGTGTTATAGACATTGTGACATCTGGTTCCTATGACCACCATTATAAACAATGGAATTATGTGAAAATTTTGAAAAATTGGTGGGGCTTCTCTTTAAGAACATACATAGCATATCTGTAAAGTGACATTGTCTGACTTTGCATGCAGGAATACTCATAATTCAAAGAAAGTGTGTATGAAGGCAAGTCCTCATGGCAACTCTATTTGAAATAATGTGCGTATGTATATGTCTCTACACAGATTGGATGGTACAATGCAGTTGTTTCTCAGGACCATCACCTCCAGTATTCAGCAGACACTCTGGCAGTGGTAGTTCTGAGCACCCCGTCCATGTTTGAGAACTTATTCCTGCCATTCCTACAGGAATGTTCCTGGAAAGCCATCAGAGATCCTATAGACCAGTGTGTAGCTCATGCCATCTCCACTTGTCTCTCTGAGGTACATCGGACCTACCCATTAGAGCAGTTTTTTCATTTCAAGTGATTATATTTGAGGACCTTTTTAAGTTAGGAACCGTCAATACTCTCACTGCCTTGCTGTCATGGTCTCAAAAGTATGTTGTGTTCTCTTCCCTCTATTCTCTTCTGCCCTCTCAGCATTTTCCTGACCGATCTGTGGACGTCGCTTATGACTATGAGATGCTGCCCAGCAGAAAACCAAAATTTCTGGCTCAGACTGCAGCTCATGTAGCAGGGGCGGCACACTACTACCAGCAGTCAGATATCCAAGATCCACCATGGGGGAACAAGGTAAAGGACTATTTCATAACATATTTCATATATTTACTAGTGACATATGCAGCAGCTTTTGTTGATGTATTTTTTTTTTT